GTCAGGAGCTAACGAATAACTCCTAATCTAATAGTAGACATAATAATAATTAATTATTAGAAAGTTTTAAGATGAAAAACTTCCAATAATATCAAAGAGATTCTCCACTTCTGGGTGTGTTTATAGAAATGATTCGAAAATCAAATCATATTTAGCTAGCAAGACGCGTTTCGATTACTGCTAAAGTAATCTTTATCAATTGCTAAGTATGAGATGGAAAATATAAATTTTTCTCCTACTACTATGTGCAACTAAAGTCAGGAGCTAACGAATAACTCCTAATCTAATAGTAGACATAATAATAATTAATTATTAGAAAGTTTTAAGATGAAAAACTTCCAATAATATCAAAGAGATTCTCCACTTCTGGGTGTGTTGAATTTAGAAATGATTTTAAAATAAGTTAAATCAAATTAGTAAATGAATTTAATCAATTATCGGGTGGCTGAATCGTGCAAAGTCAAATTGCATATATATTCTTTAAAAATAAAAGTTCTTATTGACTTACCCAATTGTTTGTTTTTCTGAGGCTGTATCAGATGCGGTGTGTGTCAGATCCGATTGAAATGCTATTTTATTTGTTATGATAGAGATTTATCTAGAAATAGAAAACAAGTGATTAGCTTTTTATATGTGGAGAAATGAAGTGGAAGGTGTGCACTAATGGCGATAGCCTTTGTTTTCATATTATATAAGTTTGAAAGTACAAAAAAAGGTTTAAGATGGGATAGAATATGTAGAAAATATATATTTTTTTTAGATTGTTACAAGGTGTATGCATTTGTAGTTCTTAATTTCCAATATTCGTTTTTTGAATAACATTATAGGATAAGAACTACGCGATGTATGTGGTTGAACGACTTTTTCGATTGTCAGTGATGAACACTCTGTGGTGTATCTTCTGGTTTGTGAAAATATTGCTTCTGACCTATCACGTAACGAAAATGGTGAATACTAATATATAAATTCAGCCATATCAGTGAAAATCTGTACTCACCCATTCGATAAATGATAGCATGTTCGTTCCAAAACTTTGCTTCACGTTCCTCTTCATATGTTATTGGTGGTCGTCCTAATAGCCCTTCATGTAGTGGTTGATTGAGAAGTACGATAGCTGGTTGTGTACAATTGATCTCTATGAGTACACCCGTTTCATGTTGTACCTGAAATAATATTTAGTAGAAATTAGTGCTGAAATAGAATTAGTCAAAAACACAGCTTTCACGTACTTTAAAATATCCACATTGTGTCAATATTTTTTTCTTCTTTGGAAATCCTTTTTCTTCAAATTCATTCCAGCCAATATTGTCGAAGATGGAATACGATGTAAAATTTTTCCAAATATCTGATCGCCATTGTCCGTCAAAATAATTATAATAACCAGGTAGCGATTTAGCGAAGCTTGTTTTTCCAGTACCAGATGGCCCAATTAAAATTAAACATTTGGCACCTGATGTTCGACGCAATTCATTTTTCACCCATCTATTGACAAGTCTACCTAAATTATAATAAAAAAAATATGTGATAAGTAATAGAAATTTATGCATTGAATAATTCAATTTATTTTCGTTGTTATTTTTTTCACATACGTAATCCCGGTGTACAATCTGGAAAAGATTTAGGCCAGTCATGTGTTTTGAAAATAAGTTGCTCCAGTCGATTCATTCTATCTTCTTGTGCTCGCACAAATATATGATTCAATTCTTTTAAATAACTATTAATAAAACAATTATTAAAAAAAAATATATATAATGTATTTCAAATATACGAACTTGATTCGATTTTTTGAAAAGTCCAGTGGCATACCATCTCGTATACAGTTCATTGCAGCATTCACATTTGTTCGTGCTAACTCAGCTGCTCGGACTAAAATAAATTCTTGTGGTGTTTCTGGAATGAAGTCGTCGTCTATATTGTTGAACATTATCGTGTATGTAGTGAATTTAAAGTGTAAAAAAGTTTTAGTATCTACAAAATAAAGAAAAAAAATATATAGTTAAGGAATATGAAATAAAAAATAAAGTAATTAATTCATAAGTGATATGTTGCAGTTTAACATAAACAGTTCCAACACAACGATATATACACAAAAAAGATAAAGAAAAAAATATGAACTGTAAGAATATACAAGTTCAAAGTTATATCAAAATGAACAAAAAAAATAAATCATATGTAAATATAATTCACAATGAACAAATCGATCAAGATGAACAACTGCAATACATATAACACTTTTATATACTAATAATACAAAAGTAAATCATATTAATAACAATTAAAAAAAATACAAGAAATTAGAATTCTTGTTACTTTTTCAATCTGGTAACAGGCGATAAATTCGTCAAGAAGCTGCTAGTCTGGTAGATTCCATTTTGGTCAATATATCTTTTTTTGGTTTTTTGTGAATTAAAAGACTTTGTAATGTACGATTTAATATTGTACCAAGAATCAGTCTTGTATTTCTTAAACGTGAACCGGGATAGACATAATATTTTTCCCATATTTCACGATATTGTTTTTTAAAATTAATTAATGGGCCAGTTTCAAATGTATAATGCAGAAATATTTGATCTTTATGTTCATAGTTTGTCGGGTTTTTAGAAGATGTATCATTTGGTTGAAGTTGAATTTTTTGTTCTCGTCTTGTGGGTTTATA